ATGTCAGTGAGAGCATGATTCATGTGTTTTTGCCCTTTAAATTAATTACAGACTGCAGTGAGGAATAACCCGGATTATATCGGGCTTATAAATGTGTAAATAATGAGCGGGGCCAGTAAACTCCCGCACAGATAACAGAGATAACATGAACCCTCACTGCTGCCTGGGAGAAAGTTAGCTGCCGTTAGCAGGCTGTTATTGATGGGGGCTAGCTTAGCTTAGCGTCGTTTCCACGGCCACTTTCATGTTAGCGATGGGCAATGAAGCTATAATCACACAGAGCATGCCGGGATTTATCAGGGAGGTTAAACTGGGAGTCTGCTTTATTGTGTTCATTTAGCAGAGCTAGCGGAGAAAGGGGCGAAACCAGTCCCGCTCTCTTGTATCGCGAGAACATCCAACCAGACTCCATTGAAAATTCTTCCAGTCGAATATGCATTTGTTTAGAGACGGCGCTATAAGTTATAAACATAAAATACGACATCTGCGGGAATATTTAAAAACCACTTCTCCAGTCGGCTTCAGTAAAATACAGTAATTGTGATTCGTTTATTATAATTAGATATTTAACAGCGTGTTAATGACGCTTCAGGACGCAGGCAGTGCGCACTTTGCGCTGTTGGAACCACGGGAGATCTACCTCCGAAAGTAGGAGTCTACGTTATATTTTGTATCAGTGTATTAGCCGAATCGAAGAACTAATCTTATGGATTAAAAATATATTCTCGCTTTTGATGTACTACACGCGATCCTTTCCAAAGATTGGAAATATCTATAAACTGCAGAATGTTAAACGAAAGTCTGAATTAGAGACACAGGCGGGAGAACCCAGTCATATAAAGGGTACGTACCTTTTTTTGAGTGGTTTCTGGGATTCTTTCTCTGCGCCATTGCTTCGTAAAGTATCCGATGTTTGTTTCAGTCAAGCAGCGATGAGGTGACTCTCTAACCTGGCCGTGGTTGTCGCGGTGAAAGCTCCTGTTCGCTTTCTGCTCTCCGCTCTGTGCGATGGAGCGACGCGTTCACCAAAAATCACGTCCTCACTTGGATACCAGCAAAGCCAAAGTCCATGGTAACCGTGATTGGCTTAGTAGTTGACAAATCAGAGCTGCCTAATGAGTGTGTGGGCGGGGCAACAGGCGGTTTCTTGTGTTTTCTCACCAATCAGATTCCTGCGCTGCTTCCCAGTGTCGTTCCTCCCTCTGGAGAGGAGCAAAAACGTGGCAGAAGAGGGAGAGGAGTTTTAAACATCGGGGGCGGAGGGACACAACTAATGGGGGTTTTAATAACCTTTATTGATAGCGTTGATACGGTTTAAAGTTTACATTGGAATAAAGCAGGTTTTAATTTAGATCATATGAACCAAAACGCGATGAAGTAAATAAAATACTTTCATTAATTTTTAGGAAACTGTATTTCTTGTTGTTTGATTAATTATTTTATGGTATATATAAATAGCCCACTCAGAGCTGAAGTAATGGTCTATTATTGATTTAGGGTTATAAATGAAACAAGTGGTGCAGACAAACTACGCTGAGGGAGCAGAAATTAAAAAACAAATTCACCAGAAATCTCCACAAAACTCCCAGAAACCCACCACCTCTGCTGAGATGGCACAATAACGTTTCTCCTGTTTGTGATGCTAAAACGTCTCACAGTCAGTCACTGGAAACTCTTAGTTCACCTCTTATTGCAAAATATAAACAGACCCAGTTAATAATACAACAATTGTTTTACTGAAGGTGGGGGAGCAAGCTGGCATGTAGTAAATGTGATTGTCCACTAGATGGAGACAAACACAGAGGAACACTGAGCCCTATCGCTGCAGCTGAGTAAAGAGAACCTTTAATTAACTTTTAATAGTACACTAATAGTTCTGCCTATTATAAACAGGTGCAGCTCTACAGTGCATCAATTCCAGCCTAAAGTCTGGCCATGAATGAATGATTTCTGTCCTGCAGTGGGGAAAAAGAAATAAATAAGTGGTGCAGTGGTCACATCAGGGAGAGTTTAAGTCCATCCGTGTCCCTATGTGGCTTCTCTACAGGAACCCGGGCTTCCTCCCACAGTTCTGAGACATCCATGAGGATGAATGTTTGTCTGTCTTACAAGTGTCAGACATGCAGCAGAACTTATGAGCCGATGCACACATAAACACTGGTTAAAGGCTTGTTTTGTTCAACCATTATTCTTCAGCTGGACACATCGAAACAGAGTTTGAAGATGTTCAGAAGATAAATTTGGAGGACAATGAAATTCTTTCCTCAGTATCAAAGAAGTCAGACTTCTGTTGTTGTACCATCAGGCTTTTTCCACATCCTAGAAGAAAACTCTGCAAGAAAACATCCTCCTAACTGCAGCTGTTCAAAGGCTGCTGGCTCATATCAATCAATCAATCCCGAGTCAGTTGTGGTCAGTGAAATCCACGACGCTGTTGCATGCTGGGGCAGCAGGTTGAGGGTCGCAGATGCCAACAGACTAAATAAACTGATCCACAAGGCCAGTAATGTTGTGGGGATGGAGCTGGACTCTGTTAGGTTGGTGTCTGAGAGGTGGATGTTGTCCAAGATTAAGACAATACTGGGGAATACCTCCCACCCACTCCATGACGTACTGGGTAGCCACAGGAGCACGTTCAGTGGGAGACTGAGATGACCAAAAAGCACCACTGACCAACACAGGAAATCATTCCTGCCTGTGGCCGTCTCCCTGTACAACTCCTCCATCTAACACACTGTAAACACTGCAATAGTTGCACCCTTTTTGCACACACTCTTTTCTACTCAGTAATATTTCTGCCAATATTCTTGATATTTATTTATAATCACCTCTGTCAATCCTGTTATGGAGTGATTTGTGTATATATTGTGCTATTTCTTAAATCTGTAACATATTATATGGTTAGATAGTCTAGCCTGTTTTTCTTACTGTTACTGTACTGGAGCAACTGTAACTCACACAATTTTCCTTAAAGTATGCTGATTCTGATTCTGAAATTGTAAACAAAATATTTTACAAACTTCAAAGAAAAATAATTTAATTAATTAATTATACTTTAATTAATTAGCTACTTAATTACTTCCATTTTGAATTAGTTAATGACATGTGTTTAATTAATTGTTAAATGATGTAATAATTTGACTTATTTTGGCAATTGAGGCCCTCCATAGCTCACGGAGGCGCGTTTATTGCTTCGCACTCCAGACCAGCAGGTGGCGATGATGCGGATCTGAGGTGGTGGAACAACGGAAGTAAAGTCAGACAAGAAGAAGAAGCAGCTGCAGAAAAAGAAGGATAAAAGTTGAAGATCCGCTTCAGCACACCCGTCCGGCTTTACCCAAGACTTCCAGCCCGGGTTTGTGGCCTGAGCTCGTCCGGAGGAAACCACCGCGTCTGGGCCAGCCTGAGGTTAGCCCGCGATGTCCCGCACGCTCATTAGGCGCGTGCGGAGGCAGCTGAAGCTGACACGTGTGAGACAGGCTGGTGGAGACAGCGCGAGCCCACTGCTCCACACGAAAGTGTCTCCACCACAGCCTGAAAACACGAATTTAGACTCGCAGTCAAAGTTTAAGTGTCGACGTGAAGCACTCATTAAACACGTTTATCTGTGATAATAATATTATTCATTTTAATGTTGCAGCTGCAGATGGTTTGAATGAATCCCGTCTGCTGCAGCATCATGTAGAACATCTGTGAAATAAGAAGGAAATAAAACTTTAAAGTACAATGTTTGCATGTTAACAAGCACATCCAAAGTTTACTTCAATAAAGTACTTAAATCAAATTGAATCACATTGTAGTGCAGAGAACAGTTTCACGGTTTTGTGTGGATCTGATATTTGCCATTAACTTCTCAAATAATCCAAATTTCACCTGCAAAGAGACGGTTTTACCTGCTTTTATAGAGAAACTTCCTCATGTGTGCTCAGCAGATTCTTCTTTAGGTGATTTTTTAAAGCAGCTCACATCTCCAGGTTAATTCAATTCAAAATGTATTTGTAAAGCACATTTAAAAGGAACAGAGTTCACCAAAGTGCTTCACAACTGGCTAAGAACAAGAAAAAACAATAGAGAAACAAATACAGAGAAATGTCAATAAATTGACATTAAAAACATAAAGCAGGCCTGATGGTGCTCAAACTGAACTTGAATTAAAAGTAAAAAGTGAGTTTTAAGACGTGATTTAAAAGACTCGGTGCTCTTTTGGGGTCGTACATGTTGAGGAGTTCGTTTAAATAACTGGGCGCCATATTATTTAAAACTTTAAAATTAAGTAAAAGAATCTTAAAATCAATACGACACTTTACAGGGAGCCAGTGTAAGTTTACTAAAACTGGAGTTATGTGTTCATATATTCTAAGACCTGTTAAAAGACGCGCAGCAGCATAACTGCAAGCGACGGAGAGATGAGTGTTGAAGACCCAAACAGAGGGAGCTGCAGTAGCTGGTCAAGAGGTGATGAAGGCATGAATAAGTGATTGTAGGTCTCAGGGGGACGATCAGGCTGAGCTTTGGCAATTTCACGTAACTGATAAAAACTTGTTGTCACATCTGTGGACACTTGCTTCTCTAATTTAAAGGAGATATCTAAAAACACTCGT